AAAGAACAAGTTATAATATTTTTATAGTTTGAGCCTTTATGACTAAATATAAAAATCAAAAAACAGTGGTAGAACATACCTAATATAATAATAAATTACAAGTTATAATATTTTTATAGTTTGAGCCTTTATAACAAAATATAAAAATTTAAAAATATTAGTAAAACATACTTAATAAAGTAATAAAATAATATAAAGATTATTAAAAGATTATAACTCTTAAAAATAACTAATTAAAACAATATCAGTCTCAATGTTACAATATTAATAGTTAAATATTATCAGCCTCACAGTTATCACAGATATAAAATACAGTAAAGTCGTTTTTAGTACAAGCTTCATGAGACCAAAGTTTGCACTTATGACATTGAATCCATGATTCTCCACTTTTACTTTTTGAATAAAGTTCTGAGCAAACCGTATAAAAAGCATCATCATCTTCATCAATTTCATCAACTATCTTATTTTTCTTTTTAGCTTTGGATGTTTATTTATTTTTTCTAGCCTTTGTATATAATAATTTAGCAATCTTATTTTTTTTTGTTAGCATTTTATTCAATTTTATTTTTTTCTGGTGTGTCTGTTAGTATTTTAGTTGTTCCTTTTTTTCCATTTTTTGTGCCAATTGGGCTTTAGGATATGGTCTAATACTTTCAGGTGATATAGTTATTGGTTCTTGACTTAATGTTTTAGTTATTATGTTTGTTATAACTGTTTCTGTGTTATTGGATGTTTCATTAGGTTGCATATTATCTGTACTATCTAATACAATGTTTGTAACAGTTGATGGTGCATATTCGTCATCATCAAACACATTTCTATTGAATGGCCACACATCAGACACAGAAAAACCATTTATAATATTTTTTTGGTGTAGCTGCGTTTACAAGGGCATAAGAAGTAACAGAAGTCAAATCATATATAGTAAACCTTTTACCGGGTTGCTCTTTATCCAAGAACCCATTTCTTGGTTAATTAATTTTTTGAATGGACCAAACACTGACCTGTCTAAAGGTTGAAGTTTGTGGAAACAATGAGGGGGGAATGAAAGCAACACAACACCATTTTCTCTATAATAATCAATAACTGGTAGATATAAATGTGATTCGTGGTTATCTAACAGTATCAACACCTTTTTTTCTTGTGTGGGTCTTACATGGTTTACAAAATGATGTATACATTTTAAGAATTGGTCTCCTTGCTTCCACCCTGATTTATTTGATGTGCCTACACACCCTGGTGGTCCTCCTCTAATAAAATGATCTTTATAATTCACTCTTGGAAAAACAAACATAGGTGGTACAGTATTTCCCAAAGCACTTACTGCTAACACATTGTAACCAATGTTCCACGTTCAGATGATGTAATTGCTCCTACTTGTTTTTTTTTCCTTTTTGTGCTACTATTTTACCAGGAATTTGTGTAGTAGTTATCCCACTTTCATCTAAGTTATATATCTGATGTGCTTCAAATTTATATTTCACAAGAACTGAATTATATTTATCCATAAATGTTTTAACATTTACTGGATTGAAGTTCATTGCCCTAGCTAAACTTGTAGCCTCTGGTTTTCTTATGGATAGAGTATTATTGCGTTTTAAGAAACTAGAAAACTAATCATCACCTGCAAATTCATATTTGGTCCAACTAGGTGGTATTTTTTAATTTAATTTAATTGCAAATTCATAAGCAAGTTTTTTCACGTCTTTGGTGCTCAATCCAAAGTACATGTCGGCACAATTTTTAAAGTAATTTGTTAACATTGATGTAAATTGTTAAATATTCGGGTGTGAGGGTGATAACCACATTCAGGTAGAGGACCACCAGAATCACGATGAGCTTTCAATTTTTTTTATGTAGCGATTTAAATTTACATGAAAATTTCAAATTGATTTGCAACTGATCGTTCAGATTTATTTTCTTTTATACAGATTTCTGCAGCTTTCTTTATGGCTTCAAAATCATTACCTCTATTTATTGTTCTTTGTCTTATTCGTGGCATGGTTATTACCTATAATAAAGATTAATGAATAACTGCTTCTTACAAATATAATTTTAATAAACAATAATAAAATGTTACATTTGTCCCCCGTTTAACTGTTACAATTGTCCCCAATCAATATTTATGTAAGAAAGTAAATATAAAAAAAAAATACTACGCACAGACCAGACAAGACAATCAAGTATAAACGTATTTTATTATTTTTCTGATAAGGACAATATTATATCGCCGTATTGATGAAGGGGAACTAGTTGCTATTACAGTGGGACAACTGTCATATTTTTGTCATATTTTAAAATCGAACCTAGAAGAGAAAATCAATGATGTTACAATTGTACTCCTATATTGGTCTCCCCTATATTAAATTATATTCATTATACAATTTAATTTATGGAAATAGAACGTTTTGTAAAAATGTTGTTCAAAACATACTATTTGTGTTAATCAAAGCAAAATGTACTTTTTGTTACAAATAGTACGTTTTGAACCAATTAAAAATATAACATGCTATATTTAAGTATAAAAAATACATTTTAAAATACTTTTACCTACAGAAATGTATTTATTAGATTTTTATCTATTTTTAAATATTTTAACAACATTTATATCTCAATTATTTAATATACAGTAGAAAATGACCTCTCCTGAAAAATATGTAAAATTCAAATGGTACGTTTTTTCATTGTCGCCCCACAATTATGTTCTTGATGTTCATAAACAATAGCAAACAATTTAAAAAAAAAAACGTTCTCATTACATCCAGTTTTAAAATAATACCTATTATAATAATATGTTAAAAATATGTTCTTAAAATTTTGATGGCCCGCGAATATTTTTCAGATTCCTAATGTAGTCCTTCAAAAATATTAATTGGTGACTCCTGGTGGGGAATTATTGATTCCGTCGAAACTACCTGTTTAGGAAAAATGTTTGTATGGATTCCGCCGGCAATTAATTCCGTTGGCTACTGTTTAAAATATCTACATATCGATTCCGCCAGTTACTGTTTATAATATCCACACATCGATTCTGCTGGACACTGTTTATTCCCCCCTTGTATATGTATTTTTAAATATATAGCAGCGGTTTCCAAATATTTTTATTGTCGTGATAACATAAATCAACAATAAATATTATTAAATTTCTATTTAAAGTATTACAAAATTTTTAATTTTTATGAAAAAAAAAAAAACAATAATTATAAATATTAATATTTATTAAAATATATTAAAATGTATAGTCTAAATTGTATAAAATGATAATAATAATTGTATAAATGTATAAATCAAAATTAAAATCTATAATTTAATTAATATTAATTAATATGTCTTACACATATACGACATAGCAAATTTTCGTTCACTAGCCGACGGAATCAATATAAAATCGGCAGAATCGATATACGCCCCTCCTAATAAACACACAGGGAAAAATACGAATATAAGCAATATTATAGGAAAATACCTATTTGTATCCACCGCAAAGATTATTAAATTATTTAAAATTTAAAATGATGGTTACTTAATTATTAACGTTTCTACCACTGAATACGTAATATTTTTATTTAGTATTTAGATATTTGACACTACTTTAATCTAATATTTTTAATTAAATTTTTTGTCATCTAATGCTTTAAAATAATAATATATTTACGTTATTTAACATTTAACAATAAACAGTAGGTATTTAATATTAACTTAAATATGTTTTTAATGTTTTTATCGTAAATAACCATCATTTTATTATTAGAAATTAATTAATTTAAACAAATTACCTATTTACATTTAGGTATATAGTTAAAGCTAGTTATGTACGGTACGCATTTATCATAACAGAACCCAAAAAATTTTATTAAAATTACTATTGAATCTATGCAGACAGTTAATATGATTACATATAGTTCTACATACATTTTAAGCTAAGAATTTAATGTTTAAATTTAAATACTTGTGAAAATTTAATATTTAATTTAAAAAATGTAAATGTAATTTTATTGTTTTTGTCAAATCACCGTTTGTTAAAAAATTTTCAACAAATATGAAAATCGGAATTTGAAAATAGAAAAAAATTAATTTATCATTTTATATTGGCTAAAAATCCATAGTAATTTAATACCGTAATATGTTATGATATTATATTTTAATGGTTATTATGTAATATGATTAATACTGTAGATGATATATTATAGATGCGAATTTTATATTTCATAAATAGGTGCTACAATAAAATATATTTTAACATATTTTATCGTTTAAAATCTAATAGTGACATTTGTTTTTATACTGTAGTTGTTTGGACTAAATGTATCTCAGCAGTTAACACCAATCACATCGATGTAAAATATCAACTCGCTTTGTTATCTTTCGACTGGCCGTTGAGAAGGGATGATAGTGGCCTGCGACCGGTAGCGAAACTAGTGTGGTAAGATCGTGACTCCTGTCCCATCCGGCTCACTGTCTTTGAGCAGCTGCTGAACGACAAACATCTGCGTTTCTCTCCTTCTCATCCGCCTTCGGTACTGAGTATTGATCATTACTGACGTCACTGCGCATAAAGTATTGTACCAACTTTATTTTTTGCGACACCGTCATCGTGTCATTATCGAAGTCGTTTTAATATCAAGGATTACTACGCATATTTGAAAGGTTAGTATCTTTTTTTTTTTATTATTACTTTTATAAGTATTTATTTCTAAACGAAATCCGAAAAACGATTTTTATTTTCATATTCCGCATACAGGAAATTGAATGCGCGAAATTTTACCTTAAGATTATATTTTTAAATATTATTGTCGTTTTTCATTATTCATTCAGTTTATTTATTATTACTAGAGCTAGAATTTAAATGACCTAAAAAAATACAAAAAAATAAAAATAAAAATTACGCATACTAAATTATTATATGGCGAAACAAGTTTAGGTTTTGGTTAGAACTGTATAGAACTGTAAAATTCAAGTCATCAAAATCCTAGTTCTAATTAGGTATTACAGTACTAGCCATGAATATATTGAAATTTGAAGACAATAGTGCAATGGCTGGCCAGTTTCTGTTCTATACGATACTATTAGTAATAAACCCTTATTATTACGTATTGTTTATTAGTATTTTGAAACTATGATCAAAATTAAATTTAAAGAAACAGTAACGATTATATAAGTCAAGACCTAATATTATATATTTTATTATAATACTGTATTATTCGTTATTAGGCAATTATTATTGTTATTTTTGCCATCCGATATAGACCACAATATTTTAATTCTATCGCGCACCACTTTTCACATAATAAAATATGAAATATTAAAATAAAATAGTTGATAGGAACAACTGATTTCACACTATAATAATCAATAACGTCAATGAGTGTTTTATTTTTAAATTATTTAAATATTAAATATAAATATAGTACTTGGTTAAAATCAGGCACGAATCCGTCAATATTTCTTTGGGTAGGCTCGTAAATTTAACCACAAAAGATAGCACAGTAAAATTATGATTTAATTAAGAATAATTTTCATTTAGTCATAAATATTTCAATAAATAGATCCGCGCCTAGTTAAAATGTGAATCCAATATCAAACGTTGCTGCTTTAAGTTGTTCGAGTATTGTAACACAAACGGCTGTCGTGTTTTCACTTCTTACGCCGTACGTTGTCGCTGCAATATCGGCACTCGCTAATATATTATATTTTTTGTTTATATTTTCTCAAATAATAAAATAATTTTTGGCATTGTGAGTATAACCGCTGGATATTATATATTATGTTTGCGTGTGCGCTAATTGTCACTAATAAAATTAAATTATGAGCACGAATCACCACTAATAATTATATATTATATATTATATTGTACCTATTATTATTTTTTTAGCGTTAATCACCAAATTAATATCCTCACTAGTGTGAGTAATAACAGCCGTAAATTCTATATAGGTACTAACATAATTATTCATATCTTTATCATGCATTTTTTTTTATATGCTACCTATTATTGACTAGGACTAGGACTAGCTGGCCAATCAGCATTCATAAATATTATGAGGTATTTTTTTTTATACATTATTATTATTTTAATTTTCTTAGGCTTTAGATGAAAATTGATTTGCTTACTATACGGAGCTAAAAAGACTTCAGTTTGTATTTTTACTAAATTTAATAACTATATTATTTATAAATATTGTTAATTTATTATTAAATTATATTTATTAATATGATCATAAAGATCTTTTCTTCACACTGTTATCTTATTAATTTTAAATTGTTGAATCGAAAGGGCCATATAATAAATTTATGTTATACAATTTTATACCTCAAAATCATTTAGATTGCTGTGATTTATATTTAGTGTCTTATGTAGTTCAATGTTCAATTGTACAGTAATGAAGTAGTAACTATCAAACCATTGTTAATATTTTCTCACAATTTTAAGTATCTACATACTCACACTCGCATACACACTTATACACTAACACACAATTTTGCACAACGAGTTTCACGCGTAGTTCGATAGTAATTGTCCGGTGATCTCGATCATTACTGTTCGAATTGCTACACCACTACTCATTTTATTATTTTATTCAAAGACTTTATGAGATGTAATTACCGAAATAAAATAATAAAATGATATAAATTATTATTACAGATGTCTGATCAAAGCCAAGAAGAAACATCCCCGGAAGATAGATTCGACCTCACCCGTTCGAACTTCCGACCAGCAATCTCGACAGTGGCTGACATAATCCAGGAACTACTGGACAGAGCGAGAGCTAATGTATTTATGGCTAGACGGCTAGCTAGACCATTTTCCACACGGGAAAACCGAACTGTGACTTGGCAGCTGTTAAGTAGATTACGGATGCGGAATCGTGGCACCCGAAGTCCAGTTGGGGGGGGTGATTCCTTCGTCTGTGTGGGCCCAAGCAGCCTCAGACGACGAACTGCTAAGACACAATATAGTTCAGGAGGCGTTGAACCGATCATTGGTTGAAATTCCCGAAAGCGAATCATCCTCACCAGATGAGTCAATTCCGGAAAAGCCTGATCAGTCCCAAGCGCAACAGCAAACTAACAGGAGTCAACATCAGGATCACTACTCACCGCCCAACAGTTCAGCGGGTCCGTCATCCTCACATATGATGATGCCGAATCAACCGCAGCGTTTCACGACACCAGTGAATCGCAACTCACCGCCGATGCCCACACCATCCGACCGTTCAGCGGGTCCGTCGTCCTCAGTGATGGCGTTCCGGAATCAACCAGATTGTTTCACGACACCAGTGAATCGCAACTCACCGCCGATGCCCACACCATCCGACCGTTCAGCGGGTCCGTCGTCCTCAGTGATGGCGATGCGGAATCAACCGCGGCGTTTCACTATACCAGTGAATCGCAACTCACCGCCGATGCCCACACCATCCAACCGTTCAGCGGGTCCGTCAGCATCACAGATGATGATGCCGAATCAACCGCGGCGTTTCGCGACACCGGTACTCACACCGTCCAATAGTTCAGCGGGTCCGCCTGCATCACAGATGATGATGCCGAATCAACCACGGCGTTTCGCGACAGCAGCGGATCTCAACTCACCATCGGTGCCCTCAACGTCCAACCGTTCAGCGAGTCCGTCATCTTCAACGATGGCGATGCACAATCAACCGCGGCGTTACCCGACAGCAGCGGATCGTTTAGCCAAGCTGTATCTTAGCCGTGGAAATCGATCCGAAGCCCAACAAGAGGTCTCCGCCTCGCCGCCTGGGGCTGTAAGTTTACGGTTGGAAGTGGATCAACCGCAACGTTATCCGACAGCAGCGGATCGTTTAGCTAAGCTGTATCTTAGCCGTGGAAATCGATCCGAAGCCCAACAAGAGGTCTCCGCCTCGCCGCCTAGGGCTGTGAGTTTACGTTTGGTAGTGGATGAGGTGGAGTTGCAACAGCGGCGCAACAACGGCGGCGAAGTTACAGGCCACGAGGAGGAAATGGCTGATGGGGAACCGCCAGAGAACAACGGCGCGCTGTAATGGCAAGGCAGAGTTCCGGGGATTTTCTGGTGCATCGATCGATCTGACAACATCGGATGGCGTAATTTTCCAACGGCCGGTCGTCGAGCCGGAAACTCCAACAAATGATAGCTCAAATTATCATCTACTGTTAAAATTATTAATAATATAATTATCGTGTATTGTTCATAAAAAAATACATTTAATTATTAATTATTATACGCATCTCGTTTTCTACTATAATTAACCATGTTACCATTCTTCCTTCATAACGGTGTGAAAATAACCATATTTCATATATGATTTTTATGTCATTAATCACAGTGACTTTAATTTTATTTAATGATTTTTTTTTCAATGCATTGTTGTTTATTGTGGTTATAGATCAATATTTAAATTTAAACGGTAAGAATAATTAAAGGTACCAACAAAATTAACGATGAATTCAAAAATTTTTCAAGCTCTGAATTATGTGTCTATGTAAGAGGTAAATTAATATTTACTGAGCATTTAAGGAGGAAAGTTGACAAGTCGGTTAACTATTCTCTCACCAAGAGTCAGTTTAAATAGTATTAATATAAATGATGCAAGTTCTACTATTAGTTAATAAATATGGTTTTGATAATAATTATATTTATATGACATTGCTAACTGTATATTCTATGCATAATATACAAAATTTGAATTAATTTGGTTTATTATAAATTATAATATATTAGCTTAGATATTTAGTATTAATTTAAAATTTTTACTTATTATTTTTTTTAATAAGTACTTAGGTATGCAGTTTTTTGTTGCATTTTTTAACTAAAAAACTGCTTTGTGTAATTATAAAATAAAAATTTTTATTTAAAAAAAAAATTGGTAAAATGGACGGTAGAAACGTAGTTATTAACAATCTAAGTCTACAAAGATAAAAAATAAATTACTATTTTATACAGTCTTTTTGGTACCTCAGCTAGAAGAACGAAAAAAAAAATTAAAAATATTGTATGGATTACGGGACTCAATTGTATTACAGATATATTATATTTAATTAGTAATTACCTATAAGCAAGGCTCCCCGCTAATTAAGATATTACCTAATTTTTATTGCATTTATTTACATTTTATATAGCGTCTTGGAGGGCGATAAGGAGGACTGATAACTGATAAGGTGACACTTGCAATATTAAAATAAATAAATAATTTTTTTTTTACGATGTGATATAAAAAACAGAATTTATGGTAAGTGTATTATTTTTCGCTGCCCCCTCCCCTGAGAAAAGTTTCTACGGGCGGCCTTGCCTATAAGTCATATAAATGTATAGAACTTATGTTACCGACTACCTTTATATGTATAAATGCGAGATTTAGCATCGTTACTATATAAAAAATATTAATTTTAATTACACAATACAATACATAGGTATATAATAGATGCGTATATTATAACTACACTATGATGGTATGAAAGATTCTGAACAGTTAATATTTTCAAGGTAGAATAGATGGATATTGCTAAATTATAATATTCACATATCGCACATCGATAGGTACATGTTTCCATTTGGATTTACACTAATTTTATTTATTCGCGCGGAGAGCAAACACCATTGACAAAGAACTGTGTAGATTATTAGTAATAGCGTAACAGCGTGTATTATAATATAAAGATGAACATGTATAATACAGTCAACTCGCGGTATAACGAATTTCAAGGGGCCGAGAAAAAAATTCGTCATAACGAAAGTTCGTTACATCGAAATTCGTTATAGCAAGAGAATATACCAATTGAATTCGTTATAACGAGATTTAAAACAAAAATTCAAAATTTTATTATTCGTATACATATGTATAAAATATATGAGTCATATAAGTATGTATTTATTGTTTAATTTCAATATAAATGTATGTAATAATAATATTTCTTTTAATATGTACATATAATAAATCGCTATACATGTGTGCATTTATTTTTCAAAAAAATCAGATATTGCGTAGAGTCACTAATCGACATTAAGTCTTATCTTAATTGCGATACTGTACTTGAGTGTACTATCGCATGATAATCATCAGAAAAACCTCGTAATCTATTATGTGGTAATAGCGACATACTTATTTTTATATATTTTTCATAGAGTATTTTTATACACTAGAGACATGTATCTTATCTTAATTAACATTAAAAATTCGGAACAGAAAGCTTTAAATTTATAAAAATTCGTTCCATCGCGAGATACGTAGTCATAATGTCGCGGTTAAAATGTCGTAAACACAAAAATATCGCGATGTCGAGAATATGAGAAATATAATATTGATATTATAATTAGGGTTTGGATTTATATGTATTTATTTATGAAATCAAAATATGTAGTGAAAACCCAAACTATGTATTTTAATAATAGGTATGATTTATTTATTAATATAACTATATACCTGTGATATCAGTGTTCCTAATACAGAATGAGTACTAAGTTGAGTAGTTTTTGCAATATTTTTAAGCCTTGCCATTGTTTTTTTAGCTTCAACTTTTGCAATATCGGCAACATGGTTATGTTCAGTAGTATGAACTACATTTTGTCCAGATGACAAAATCGACAGCGACATTTCTTTGTATTATACTCTATGCACTTCCAAATAATTTTATTTTCGTTTTCTCTTTCTTTTTTTTTTTGTATACAAATAATTAAACTTGAGTAATTTTCCATTTTTTTGGTTTATTATATACTCAAATGACATAATGTATAGATTATATTATAGATTTTCTGCTATGGTTGTAGATTACACACTAACACTAACTACACACTAATATGTATATACTGAACTTTATTTTCGTAGGTATTATATGGTACCTACTTTAATCTAATCTAATCTTACCTACGACTGAACGAAAACCCGAACTACGAGCCACATCGGCGACTACATTGGCGATAATTACTAGCTGCGACATTTTTACCACGACATTTTTATTGCGACATTTTGACGCGACACCCCAAAATACATTACATTTGTTCGTTATACCGCAATATTTTCAAGGGACCGGTAGTTTTATTCGTTATATCGAGATTTTCGTTATATCGAATTTCGTTATATCGCGAGTTGACTGTATAATAAAAGAAAATAATATGAATAATAATAATACATAATATATAATTTGGTAACGTCATGATATTAAATTAAATTAAAAATTATTCATTAATCATTTATACAACAATATAATATAGATCTAAACGAGCAGAATAATTACTTAATAATAACATAAGCATTTTTTTCACAGTACTTTTTTATTTAAAATTATTAATGCATATTGTTGGTGAGCATGTTATTTAGAAATTTGTTATTAACAAATTTATAATTAATTTCAAGATGATTTTTTTCTAAATGTTGGTGACATTTATGAAACATATTAAAATTAAATGGTTACATCTAATAGAATTTTCTTATTAGTAAAACAAAAATATTCTATCAAGAATCTTTTCACCATCAGTGGAAATATTTTTGTTTTTATTTTTGATATTAAATCTACTCCATCATATGTAATATAGAATATTTATACCTCAGTTTATGCATAATATTTAAGTTATGAAGATCATGTCCAATGATATAAAGTTTCTCATAAAAGTTTACTGTAGCTACTTAAAACAATTTAAGATGTATATGCAGGATTTTTATTTATAAGCATTTTAAGTTAAATTTTCAACAACATTCGTTAAAATTAGTAACAATTGTAAATAATTATTATTTGATTAAATATTTAATTTTCTATATTTAAGAATTAAAAATTAAACACAAAGTTTTTCATAAATATTAAATATAATGTTACTGAAAAATAATAAAATCAATATAACTTTTTTTTTTATAGATATTTTAAGTTCAAATTTGTATAAAACTAAAGACTTAAACGAAGAATAACGATTTCAATTTCTGAAAATTGAAATTAGCACGTTTATACATGTAAACACTTAATCTTTATAATTTTAGATATATTATAATATCAATTAATAAACTAACATTTTTAATTTATAATATTAACACAACAATAATTACTTTCAATGTATTTAAATATTGAATATAATAATAATTAATTGACAAATAAAAATTCAGTAATAAAAGTTTCGTTAAAATGTTAAAATTTGAAACATATGGTACTAACTTAGAATAGGAAGGACGTAAAAATGCTATATAAATAGTGTATTTCATGATAATTCTTAAATTTAAGTAAACAATGAAACCGTTGTCTACAGTTGTAGATGAAAATTTCATGAAAATATTGAAAGGTAATTCGCTTGAAAGGTCTCGCCAATGTTATTCTTGGGCCCAATAACATTATAGCATATATATCAGGGGCGGCCAAACAGTCGATCGCAACGATTTTAAAGTCGATCGTGCTAGAATTTATTTTTAGGCTGCGCTCACGAAAATTAATTATGGTGGTATAGTAACTTAATAATAATAAAAACGTTTTTATCGAAGTCGATCCTCAAAGGTAAAGTATATTTTTAGTAGATCGCGGCCGAAAAAAGTTTGACCGTCCCTGATATATATTATAATATACTGGTGAATGTATTGAGTATCTTGTTTAAAGAATGTTTTTTAAGAAAAATAAGTTATTGTCTCTAGTGTTTTTCGGATTTTTATTAAAATAAAGTTTTTCCAATAAAGGGCTAATATCTTATTTACTATTGAATTATTTGATTATAAAATTTTAATTTAGATTTTTTTTTTTTACGGTTTTTACGAAGTCATGTGAACAAATTCTAAAATTCCGTCATAACCAATGCTAGGCTTTCTTTTTACTCTACATTTGAATGAAATGAATCGTAAAAAAGAGTTTTGGTTTATTTCAGGTTTGAGTTATGGATTTGACAAATCAGATAAAAGTAGCATACTTACTAGAATTAAGATCGAAATGTAGAAAAATATTTATTTTTTAATGTGCGCGGATCGTTAAATTCTGATGGCATTTGAGAAACCTATAACCATTGAGAATGCTTTGTTTTTAATTTTATGAATACCTACTGTCAATAATTTTTCATTTA